CCCCCATACCCCCCACCAACCGCCGACACGCTCGGCACACTCGCGATGCTCATCGGCCGCTCTCTATCCTTCTCCTCCACACTCCTCCTCCCAAACGTAGACCACACATCCGCCGCACCGGGCAATGAAACTCTCGATAAACGTCTGAACCGTCCTTGAGAGTCGAGTGTAGGGCCCGACGAACCGCTGTAGCTTCGCCCGTAGTTCGCTCGCTCGAAAGCGTCGAAGAAAGCCGGCTCGAAGTCCAGTGGTTCGTGCTCGGGGCTGACGGGTAAGGGCGAGCCGGACGACGGTGCGCGCGTGTGCGCTCTCGGTGGCCGCACGGGTATCGCAGGGCTCGAGTCGGACGGTACGCGCGACACAGTAGGCGGTGTACCCGTCTCTTTATGTGCGTGAGGTGTCGCAGGCGGCGCAGGCGCCAGACCGCCCGGCATATCGCCGAAGTGCTGCGAAGCGAGCCCATGCATCGCATGTGGCGAAAGCGGCGAGTTGACCGACGTCGGCGACGACGGCGCCGATGCGTACTCCTCGAGCAACGCGTCGACGTGCGGGTGTATCTTCCGTTCGTATCTTGTAGGCGTAACAGGACCATCGTTCATGTTCGTGTTGAAGCTCGTGTATCCCACGGGTAGCGGTGGGAGCGGCGGAGGCGTCGAAGGCGTCGTGGGCATTTGCGTCTCGTTTGTATCGGTAGAAGTCGTAGAGCGTGTGCCGCTGCTTGATGATACGGCACGGTCGCGCGCGCGGAAGCGCGTGAGGAGGGTTTGCATGGTGCTGGTGTAGGTCTGTGGCAGGGAAGATGTCAGCGTGCGAGATCTTAGAAAGAAGGCGTTTGAAGGCGTGGTAGCAACGGCACAGAGATAAGAGATGGACGAGATTGTCGAGCTCAGGCGAGGTGCCGTTGTATGGGCAATGCACTGTGTTGCGAGGAGCGAGGAGCGGCGAGCTCGACGACGAATGTATGAACCCGCCGCCCTGGCGCCACAACGATGAGAGGTTAAGCGCTCACCGTGTTGTAATCGAGATATCGTAACGTCTATGAACCGTAAAGCAAAATAAGAGATGTCGAGCAAGCAAGAGTAGAATGCGTGAGCAAGTCGTGAGTAGCAGAGCAGCGTAGTATGAGCGAGCCGGCGGCAAGTTGAAGTTCGAGTTTGCGGGTTCAACGGGAGCAAAAGCCTATCTTATTCGAGGCACAGTTTACTTCCGCTCGCGGCTCAATCAACGATCGACCAAGCGTGCCGTACCAGCAGTCCAAAGCCTCGAGAGCAGAAGACTGGAAGAGACGCTGGTGGTGGCGGTCAGAGCACAAACTCGAACGACGCGCAAGAGGTCGCCGCTGCTCGGCGCTCGCTTAGGCGCTCGAGATGAATGATCGCGCTTCTGACAGCCGCGGCGGCCCGGGCCGTGATCGCCACGTGGGCTACGCGTCGCGCGCAGGGGGCGTGATCGCGTTTCGGGTTCGGGCCAGGCTTTGTTTGCTCGTTCCGCTCCGAGACACCCGTCGAGACGGAGGTATCTTTCTTTTCAATTGTCGACCTTCACTGCATCTTTGTAGTGCATGGCGCTGACATGCTGAGGAGGGTCTACGAGGAGAACATACGGGCCGTCGCGGAGAGACGGCCGCCATACTTATGAACGCTGTATGACGGACAATCCACCTCGCGTGGTAATCTCGGCTGCATTGATGTTGCGAAAGCGGTCAATAGATCCCTGTTGGCGCGTAGAGAAGAAGCAGCGTGCATACGTCGTGCGGCAAGCCTGTGCATCGCACTCCCGCTCTTGTCCAGCGCTCAGCCTCATCACCTTTTGTATAACTAGCTTACTCTTAGACCTAGACTTCACCTGCTTCTTCGACGCCGCTTTCACCGGCGACAACTCCGCGCCTTCTTAATCCTGATTATATCTTGAACGGTTGTTGTGTTGGAGCGCGCGGCGCAGGATGGAGGATGGCAATACCGGTACTCTTCGGAAGGACAAGGAGACCCCCAAGACAGCATGGGGGAAAGCAATGCAATGGGCAGACGACAACCTGAACTTCTTCAAGATACATGTCCTCGCATTGTGCGTCCTCTACTCGTCTATTGCTTTAGCGACGTCACTCATATTCGCTCGCAATATTATAGCACTTTCATCCCGCTCATATGTGCAGCCATCCTCTACGCATGCAACGGCCGCTTCCCCATCCGCTTCATCGACGCCCTCTTCATCTGCGTCAGCGCCGCGACCGGTACAGGTCTCACGACCGCCGACCTAAGCTCCCTCACGGCGTGGCAACAGACAATAATAGCCGCGCTGACTGTTGCGGGAAGTCCGGTACGTGCCCTTGCTATGTCTTCTCCATCACTATGCATCCTCCATCTTGATATGTCCCCGAACGGGTTGGATGGGCGTGATGTTCGTGTGCTACTGGCGTCGGCGCTTTGACTTGGCAGGTTCAAGAGATGGTGTTGTGGCCCGGTCGGATGGGGAAGTGGGAGTGCTACATCTGCTGTAATCGGCGTCGTGTGACAGGTTCCAGAGCGTAGGCGCCCTCGTCCCAAGCCTGGCGCCTATGCTTAAACTGCGTTCTGTAGGCGCACGCTCGAGTTGAATTTGACCCTGAACCGCCGATCCACGTCAAGCGCCCATCCAACTCGTTGACATCCCTGCTCTCTCCTCCGACCTGTTGATTCGTGCTAAGCGCTCACGATATATTTGTAGACAACGGTAGCATGGATAGCCGTCCTCGTCCGGAAACACTACTTCACAAGTCAGCTCGACGACATCGTCCAAGACGAACTCCGCAAGTTCTCCGCCGTGGGACCCTCATTCCCCAACATCGCCGCGCTGAAGGAGAAGGGCAAAGACCTCGGTCGCAGGAGCAAAGATTTCGCAACCCGGACCTTTACTCGGCAATCGGAGTCTGCGGGCTTGCATCCGAGAGCGGTACATCCCGGAGAGATCAAGATCGTTGCGGCGACGAGACAGAACACGGAGGCGGTCAATGGAGACGAACACGCGAACGGCGACGAGAGCGCGCAGAATGCTATCACGAGCAGCCCTGAGCCGCTCTCGCCACTTGCGCTTGACGATCACCATTCGCATGTGCAGAACTTCCCGGACATTCCTAGTCCGCCACCTGCGAACAATGAGTTTCTCACGAGCTCGCCAACGCCCATGTCGCCCAAGTCACTTCCGGAGGACGGTGCACAAGGGAGCGCTACAGGCGTGCGGTGGAGTGAAGATGTGGACCAGGATCTGAGGAGACGCGTGCTCGACCCGCGACAACGTACGTTGGCTGATAACTCGAGTTACTCGATATGCGAACGCTGATGGCTACTCACATCAGGCATGCCCACTCGTCGGCAAACTCGCCAACATACCATTCAACTGCACGTCGCAGCTGGCCTCCCTCCTCCAGCAGCCAAGGTTGACCGTGGCGGCTTCAATCCGGTATGTACATTCGAGCAGTACCACCATATGACACTAGCTGACTGGTGCTGCAGATTAGTCTCATCGACGCCGGCCTCAAACGCGCAGCACCCAACTTCCGCGAAGCAGTCCGGCGCAAACTCACAATGCCCGCCCAAGAAACACTCATCGGCGCACATCCCCGTCCGCTCGACCCCGAGCGCGGCGTCAAGCCGGTCGATGAGAAGAAGCAGGACGAGAAGCAGGTGCCGTACTTGTTGCCCGGATCGCGGATGCCTACGCGGAATGGGACCATGGAGAGCTATGAGAGTTTGAGCGAGGAGGATTATGAGGAGCTTGGTGGGGTTGAGTATCAGGCGCTTAGGGCGCTTGTATGGATTGTGCCGGGCGTGAGTGCTTCTGCATTGCGAATCGGGTGGTTGGCATGGTGCTGAGGCGTATGATCGACAGTTCTACTTGGCTACGATCGCAATATCGTTCGTGGTCATCGCTCCGTACATGTCAATATCGCGCTGGAGTTCGACGTTCCTCCCGCCGAACCAACATAGGCCGATCAACACGACATGGCACGGTTCTCCCACAGCTCTCGACGCAGCGCTAACTGACTCTTTGTGTAGGTACAGCCTCTTCGAGCTCATCGGCGCATGGGGCAACACCGGCATGTCGCTCGTTGACCAGAACCTCGTACCCTTCCAGCGAGCGTACCCGCTTCTGATCATCGTCATCATCGTCGCTATCCTCGGCGAAACGGGCTTCGTAAGTGCCACATCCATGTCTCCCCGCAAGGTACTCATTATTTTATGCTCGTCGCGCATGCACTTGCATAGCCAATCGGGTTACGCTTCATCATGTAAGGGCGCTCTCTGCCCATGTCAAGCTAGTACTGATCCTACGCAGATGGGCCTTTTACAAGTTCGCGAACAAGGCCAGCCGCGCACATGCAGCATTGGAGTTTCTGCTCGATCATCCACGGCGGTGCTTCATCCTGCTCTTCCCGAGTAGACAGACGTGGTTCTTACTTACGGTCATCATTGCGCTGAAGTACGTTCCCTCTTATGCTTGATCTCTTCACGCTGACTGACATGCTTGCGCGCAGCTTGGCTGACTGGGCGGCATTCATGATTCTTGACATCGGTATCCCGGAGATCGAGGCCATCCCGACTGGTGTACGGGTACTGCTGGGCGTGATTCAAGCTGTCGCGGTATACCTCACTCGCTCGCTGGCTAAGGATGCATGCTCAGACTGCGTTATCCGCAGGTCCGCCTTGCAGGCTTCACTGCTTTCTCCCTCGCCACGATCGCACCCGCCATGAAGATCCTCTACCTCGTCATGATGTACATCGCGGCGTTCCCGATCGCCATGAGGTGCGTTTGTATGGGCTGTTCGTCGCGTGCCGTCTACTGACTTTTGGTACTGGGTAGTGTCCGTGCGACGAACGTGTACGAGGAGAAGTCACTCGGCATCTTCGAAGAGGAAGTAGATGAGGACAAAGCACTGGAGGATATCGAGAACGAGGCTGCGTATCCGGAGAGTGATGGCCGTGTTGCGATCTGGGGCCGCTACCTCGGTCGTCACGTGCGGCACCAGTTGTCCTACGGTACAGCTCTGACACATTCATGAGTGTCAGACTTGATAGCTGATGCGAATGCACATACAGACTTGTGGTGGCTGATGCTCGCGCTGTTCGTCGTTACGATCGTCGAACGAGGTAACATCCGTAACGTGGAGAACGACGAATGGTTCAACCTATTCAGCATCAGTACGTCTATATGCACTCCCATACAAGCGAGTGAGAACTGACAACCGTGCAGTCTTCGAGACCGTCTCGGCATACACAACCGTCGGCCTCTCCCTCGGCATTCCAACGGCCAACTACTCCCTAAGCGGCGCCTTCAGCACCCTCAGCAAAGTCATCATGTGCGCCATAATGCTCCGCGGCCGACACCGCGGGCTCCCGCTCAAAGTCGACCGCTCCATCATGCTCCCCAAAGAGTTTGAGGCGAGCAAGCGCGCGCATGTTCGGCGTCTAAGGTCGCAGAAGATGGGGCTTAAGGGGGGGCTGTTCGGGATTGGGATGGCCGGGCTGATGCCGGGGTTGACAGCTGGGACGCAGCCGGTGCCGGCTGAGCTTCCGCGGCATGAGAGGTTGGATACTGTTAGAGAGAGCTCGGACGAGAAGGAGGAGGTGCCGAGGGGTAACTCGGAGGAGACGCGGGGTGGGTCGGAGGAGTCCAAGGCGAATGTGGACGTGAAGGAGCGCGATGTTTAGACCGGCCCTTGCGGCGAGGAGAGCGTGTTGAGGGCGGACATTGTGCTCTAGGTTAAGGAATGTGTGGATCCGTTATCGTTTGCTCGCTGTGCGATCGCTATGCTGTCTGTTTCGCTATGAACACTTCCCTTCCTTAGATATTTAGAACTTACATCCATATTCCCTCGTTAATCACTGTATATGTAATTACCCGTCTTTCTCGATGTCTCATTGATGGACTCACTCGTGGGCTCCAGACTGCACGGCACAAACAGCACGAAGACTGTAACCCGAGGTTATATGCGTCAGAGGGTGCGGAAGAAGGTGAGGGGGATGAGTTCTCGAGAGGGTTTGTGTCGTGTCACTCAGTCGCGCCGCGCGCCCTGCTTGACGAACGTTGGCTCCCGGGAGTTGACTGTGGGCAGAAAGATAGAAGAGGCTTTGGGCTCGACGTCGTAGACCTGGTCGAAGGCATGAGGGAACGGAGACGCCGTCCACACGCTTGAGCGATTTTCGCTACTAGATCACAGAAGAAGGAGGCAAGGCTATGCTTCGTGCATCATGTGTCTAGTGCGGCCCTCGGTGGCTAGGGCAAGATTGGTGTGAGCTGTATCTGTAAGTACTGCTCAAGAAGTACGCTCTCGAGTGAGCGGCCCGCGTCAACTTGAACTCGCGCTGAACTCGCAGCCGCGGCCGCGTCTCCAAGACTTGTCTCCAACTCCCATCATCCCGCCTTCTCCGAAGCGCGTAGCATTCTCCAATGAACACCCTGCCCTCACTCGCTCTTTGCAGCATGTACGAATGGTCCGGCGGTACCTATGCGATTGTACCTGTTGTACTTTGCCATGTTTACACGACTGCGCTCCGATCCCCCGTTTTCTTCAGTTGTACCCTGCGCCGCGTAGCGCTTCGCCAGCTGCCCGCAGCCCAGTCAGGTCATAGGGATGCGTTGAATACGCATCAGACGCCTGGCTTGAGCTTCAATACGCGTGGACTTCGCAATGCTGGAGCAGACACTAGTCCAACACTTACATGCACTCGTACATCTGTCCGCGAGTGCACTAACACAGCGTGCGAGGCGCTCAGTTGCGAGCACTCTTCGGGTCTTAGGGTAATGTATGGGCTCGGAGTCTATCTGACACTCGTCTCTGCATAAGTAGCCCACAGCTGGCAACCTGATACTCATCATCCAACGCTCAATCTCCAACGCTCGATCTTACACTGCAGCGCGAACCTTGCCCAGTGCCCGTCTATCCAAACCTGACCGCCACCGAGCACATCACGCGGCATGGAGAGTGGCTCAACTGGCTCAGTCTATCTATCATCTTCGCTATGGCAGAAGATACGGAAGTGGGGGGACGAGAACCTAAACTTTTTCAAGCTACACCTCATGGCCTTGTACGTCGTTTCCCTGACCTATTAGAACGCCTTGCTAACGAACATCGCTTGCAGCACCATAGTTCCCCTCATTTGTGCAGGCATCCTCTACGCCAGCAACGGCCTTTTCCCCATCCGCTTCATCGACGCCCTCTTCATCTGCATCAGCGCGACAACCGGAACTGGATTGACCACGGTCGATCTCAGTGCGCTCACAGCCTGGCAACAAGTTATCATAGCGGCGCTCACCATAGCCGGAAGCCCTGTACGTCTTTTCCTCTTTCTGTGGATATCGAGGGGGCGATATGCCACGTTGGACGCTGTTGCAACTGGCACCTGAACTCGTCTGTTACCCAAGAAGAAGTGCTGACGATCCTTTGCCAGACCACAGTGGCTTGGATAGTTGTCCTCGTTCGGAAACACTACTTCACTACTCATTTGGATGGTATCGTCAAACGAGAGCTCAGCAGATCACCCACGGCCTCCACGCTCCGCCTCTTTGACACCCTCAAGGCAAAGAGTAAGGATCCTAGGCGCAGAAGCCAGACCTTTGCGTCAAGAACCCTCGACTCTGTGGAGCTGCCTCGAACAACGATCCCCGAGGTTCATGTCATACCCGTTTCTCGGCAGAGCAGCGAGATCGCTGCAGTCGACGCCTTTGCTAGACCGACTGGTGTTGGGGGTGCACCAAAGCGACCCGGACCATTGGCGCCTCTGATGGTGGATAATCGCTCGCTTGTTGTGCCAGATACGACGGGAACGCCGACGCTCAGAGTCAGACCGTCGCCCACCAGTAACGGCATTCTGACGCGGTCATCGACTCTCATGTCCCCGTCCTCACTCTACGCGGATGACGGGATCCAAAGGACGGCGTCAAGCGTGCATTTCACCCAAGATGCCAATCAGGACCTCAGGAGACGAGTACTCGACCCGCGGCTGCGTATGTAGCGAACCTACACGAGCTCCAGTTAGCGTTCTCACTTTCGTGTATGTCAGATTCTGCGACGCGACAGCAGATGGAGCAATTGCACATCGACGCTGGTCTTCCGCCTCCCGCCATCACGCCTGACGACCGTGGAGGCTTCATAAACCCGGTGCATACCGATCCTCAATTGCCACACAGTTCAACAAGCACTAATCTCGCGCTTAGCTCGGTCTCCTTGATGCCAGTTTCAAACGCGTAGCACCCAATTTGCGCACTGCGATTCGTCGAAAGCTCACGATGCCCGCCCAAGAGACGTTCTCAGGCGCCGCCCGCAACACATCCATGGATCAAGAACATGGCTTCGGCGTATGGCCCCCTGAGGTAGTCAGACCCGGAACGCACGCTGAGAGGCGGGTGCCGTACCTTTCACCTGGAACTTCCCTCTCTGTGCGGACGGGTAGTACCCTGAGCTTCGAGAGCCTGGCCGAGCAGGATTACGAGGAGCTTGGCGGAGTAGAGTATCAAGCACTGAGGGCTTTGCTGTGGCTCGTCCCCTGCGTATGTGCCTACTGTCTTCACTTGACCTCATGATCATCACTGACTGCACACGCTTAGTTCTATCTGACAACGGTCGCCTTGGGCTTCGCAGTGATAGCACCTTACGTGGCAATGTCTCGCTGGCGCGAGATATTCCTGCCCCCAAATCTGAACAGACCTCTCAACTCGACATGGCACGTGCGCTTGTACACGAAGCCACTTTCTCGATGCTCATATTTCCTATAGGTACAGCCTTTTTCTTATCATCAGTGCTTGGGCGAATACCGGCATGTCGCTGGTTGATCAAAACCTCATTCCATTTCAACGCGCATATCCACTACTCCTCACCGTCATCGCCGTCGCTCTGCTTGGAGAGACTGGGTTTGTGAGTGCTATTGCGTGTGATCCCCTCGCAAGAGTATGTAACGCTAACAGACACTTGCTACGCCTTGCTCTTCGCTTAGCCTGCCGGGTATGTAACTCTTGCCAGTCTTCAAATGAGAGAGCCCATACTGAACGTTGAACCTTTGCCCATCCAGACTGCGTTTCATCGTGTGCGTGTTCGGCTTCATGTTCAAACGCCAGCGCTTTACTCACGATCGCCTTCCGCAGTTGGGCACTTTCCAAAGTCACGCACAGGGACGGGCGCACGCATGCGGCGTTAAGGTTTCTCCTTGACCACCCACGGCGATGCTTCATCCTGCTGTTCCCCAGCCGACAAACATGGTTCCTACTGACAGTCCTCATTGCTCTCAAGTACGCACACCTTTGCAAAGATCACCACACTGAGCGGGAGTTGAACTTCGGTATAGCTTGACTGATTGGGTCGCATTTATGGTCCTTGACATCGGCATCCCCGAGATCGAGGCCATTCCACTTGGCGTGCGGGCGTTGCTGGGCACGGTCCAAGCAGTTGCTGTGAGCAGACCTCGTGACTCTCTCCTTGTCGAAGCTTGAGGTCTCATGCTTATCAGCTACGGATCGCTGGCTTCACGGCCTTCTCTCTTGCTACACTTGCACCGGCCATGAAGATACTGTACCTGGTGATGATGTACGTTGCAGTATATCCAGTATCGATGAGGTGCGTTTCACATCGTTGCCCTATCATTGATCGGGAGCCTGACCATGGCGTCATGATAGTGTACGTGCAACGAACGTCTACGAGGAGCAGTCGCTTGGCATATTTGAAGAGGAGGAGAATAAGCCTTGGAGAGACCTCGAAAACGAGGCTGCCTACCCGGAGAGCGATGGGCGCATTGCCATATGGGGGCGTTATCTTGGTCGGCACATGCGCTATCAACTGTCGCACGGTGAGCTCTCGGCATATGTCCTGTGTACTGCGGGAGGAAGGCATGCTGAATTGGACGCGCAGACCTGTGGTGGCTTATGCTCGCCCTCATCGTTGTTGCTGTCGTGGAACGAGGCAACATCCGCGACCCGGCGAGCGACTCGTGGTTCAACCTCTTTACCATTAGTGCGCCCGCCTGCATTCATCCCCACCTCTAATATTGACAATTGTGAACGCAGTATTCGAAACGGTCTCTGCGTACACGTCCGTCGGTCTTTCCTTTGGCATACCGACCGCCAATTACTCCTTAAGCGGGGCATTCAGTACGCTTAGCAAGGTCATCATGTGCGCGATCATGCTTCGCGGGCGCCATCGAGGTCTACCTCTGAAGGTTGACCGGTCAATCATGCTCCCGAGAGAGTTCGAGCAGAACAAGCGCGAGCATCTCAAGCGTCTGCGCGCTTCACGTTTGGGACCGGCAAGCAGATTCCTCGACACAGGCATGGCACGCTCCATATCTGGTTTCTCGCGGACACCGGTATCCCCTACACCCGAACGTCTCGCGACTGTGAAGGAGAGCGCGGATGATGAGAAGGATGAAGGCGCGAGTGACAGCGCTGAGGAGAAGAGGGCGGACAGAAAGATTGTCGAATAGCTCGAGATCGCAAACCCTGGTCTCTCTGTGTGGTGTATAGACGGACAATGTCACCGCGCACCGATGTTCAAGACTGGCCTATTCTTATTGGACTCAACTTCGCACCCGCGGACTCATGTTTCAGATAAAAAGTAAATGGATCAGAGCGAAGGAAGAAAACAACAGGGTATGATAGAAGGAGAAAGTACAAAGCAAATGCACAGTTGTTAGTCAATGCGTGGTCCGAGTCATGCTGTCTATGGTCTACGAGTACTCTATGTTTATGCTGCCGCAATCGCGCCAGTAGCGGCATCCGGCGAGACAAAGATGTTCATGCCAGAGAGCAGGAGGTAGTCAGTGTTGACGCCGACCTCAGCCAAGGGCACCGACATGTCAAGGAGCTGGACAAGCGTCGCGTCACCGGGGCCGTCGATGCGCCAGACACCGAAGGCAGTGGCAGCCTCCATAAGCATGTACCTAGAGGACAGTCAGATGAAGGAACATATACGAAGAGCGGTAACGTGTACGCACATGTACTCAACACCGTTAACCTCAGTAACGACAGCCTCGTTCGGGCCCATGCCGGACACGTTGTATTGACGAAGGAGGGTGGGGTTCAAGTCATCGTCGAGCGCGACCTCGTTGACATAGTGCGCGAGCAGGTCCGAAATAAAGTAGGTGCCGGCCTTGGGCGCAGTGACGGACCAGCAGTTACCGATGTTGTTTGAGATGTTGAGCGGCTTGACCGTCGCATTCGCGGCACCAGTGCTCATGTCGACAACGATCGCTCCGGGGACGACATCGGAGCCGACGAAGGCGTTGCGACCAGGAATCTGAGAAAGGCTGAAACTGAGTCCGCCGAATGGTGGGCGGAGATCAATCTCCAGCGGGGTCTCGGCGAGGACACCCTCATCGTCAATGGGCCAGATACGCATGTAGCCGGGGTACTCGGTGAAGTTGGTGCGCAGACCCTTGGCTACCGCGATGACAGCCTCCTGGTCAGGGGTGAAGAGCACCTGCGATGCGGTACCGGGAGGACCTGTCGGTGGGTTGGAAGTCTGGTTGTATGTCGTGACCTCCCCGGTGGACGACGCCTCGAGCGCGCCGTATTCGTCGACAAGGAAGCATCTGGTGCTTTAGTCAGCACAAGACTTGGTTTTAATAAACAAACAACTCACTGTACGTTGGAGTCGAGACCGCCGTTGAGCACACACAACTTGTCACCCTTATTGTTGAAGGCGAGAGACTGGGGGAAGTCACCGCCTGAAGACACGGCCTGGCCGATTGGTGTGAGCCGGGTCGGGTCGGTGGGGTCGATGTTGTACAGTTGTACGGTGCCAGACCCAGCATTTACAACGGCGAGCCTTCCGGTCTCCTGGTTGACGGTGACAGGACTCTGCGAAAAGAGCGCGCCAAGGTTTGGTGGCTGACCCTCGGCACCAGCACCCTGCGCTGAGAATGCGCTTATATCAGACTAGGTAGCGACGTCAGTATGCGCCAAAGTCAAAGAAATGCGACGAAGACTGACAAGGAGACCGTCCTGCCCAATTTGCGCAGAAACGACGTAGTTGTCCTGAAGGTCGTTGGTGATGACTTAAGAGTCGGACGTCAGCTAGTGGAACGAGTGGATGGGAGAGATCATTTACTGTAGACGGCACCGAAAGGCGTGGCAGGAGAGACAGCGGACGGCAAGGCATAAGCAACTGTGCCAAAGGCCAAAGCGGCAGCGAAGGAAAACATAATGATAAAAGTAGTAAAAAGAGGAAGGGAAAGAGGAAGAAGAAAAGAAGAGCAGTTGTGTCGGGGAGACCGATGAGGAAAGAGCAGCTATGAGCCATGGCCTTATGTACCTTCTCGAGCTCGCCTGTGGGTACTCTCGCAGGCGGGTCGGTAAGATCGGCGGTGTGCTAAGAGTGAGCTGACAAGCTTCCTACGTCGGGCGCTTCTCACGGGGACTGGTGTTCATTGGCTCAATGCTGCTGCGTTGGCCGGCGCTATCGCCATCATTTCCGACGCACAGTGTGCGGGGCGTGCGCCAAGCTCGAGTGAAACCGCTACCGCACACCGACATCCCGTCACCGACGGCAAGGTCACGCACTGCGCCTCGGTAGAGGTAAACGTGGAGGTTCCGACCATATGCCGTGCATCAACAAAGACTGACAGTTTCTGAGGAAACCTGCTACGATAGTCGTATTTTCATGTGTGAGGCCCTTGGTAGCAACCTAATATTAACACATCAGTGCCGATATCTGGAACAAGCTGTGACCGTAGCGGCCCAAGACTCACCTCTTGTAGCCTGTGTGCAATGTCGGCGGATATCAGCGTCAATATCTTTGTGTCTCGTCATCGCCGGGTGCTGTGAGAACGTGGGTCTGAGAAGCACAGAAGAAATTGCGACGCAGTCTTCGCTGCGCCGATGACGAGAGGGTGTTTATCGCAGCTCGCTACAGACATCCTTTGCACCAGCCCACACACAATAAATGAAAGTCTGTTATTTTGAGGCGCTGCTGAAGATACAGATGGGTCTGGGTACCCAAATGTACCAGTTGCCGGCCATGATGGGTGTTCGTTGGAGACCTGCGGCCAGAGCCCGGGGCGGAGTTTACTTGGCAAACGCGTGACGTCACGCGTTTGTGCCGAGCGGGTTGATGTCGGCCTCCTAGTCCGAGAAAGTAGCTGGTTGCCTCGTACCCATTACCTTCCCTACTTGTGGCACATTCACTACGCTCTACTCTGCGCGCTCTGTTTTGATTCCTCTTCTGCACATGGACTTGTGAAGGCCTGTCCAAGAGGCGCTGCACCCGCTTCGATCCTCGTCAACATATTGACCAACCCGTTCCGGTCCCTTTCCGGGTAGCATGACTTCAGCGTCGCCTGGCGTCTACCTTGCTTAGCTCTCGCCACGACATCTTAGTGTCTTCAATCAACTATTCTACATGTCTAATACTACCGCGGGCGCTTCAGATCCACTTCCACTCATAGTGGTGACCTTCGGCACGTCCTCCATTGCCGTGCCAAGGTCTGAGTGCGAAGCCTTCTGCCCCAAGCCAAATCCTCTCTGCACGGGTCTCTTCTGTACAATGCGCGAGGCATTTCCCGCTTTGAAAGATACTCCTGACGACGCCATCGCGATTGCGGCCAAGCTACCGGGGATGCAAGCCGCCGTACAGATCATGCCATCGCTATGGCCCCAGATATGGAGCAGAGTATCCGAAGTTGTAGTGAGCATTCCGCCTACGGAGGATGGTAGGTACTGCATGGTGTCAATGTCTTCTTTGACGATACTAACCTTTGCTTAGACAAGCGTTTCAAACTAGTGACCGAAGTGGCAACATCCGTGGTCCATTTGCGGACTCCGGATAACGAGCACTTCGAACTACGCATCAATCTGAACGTAGCGAACCTTCAAGACTTAAAGAGGCTCATAGAGCAAAAGACCGGAGTGGCAGTTGAGCGCCAGATTGTGGTCTTTAGGAAGAGAGTATACGGTACCAAGGGTGTGATAGAAGCGGGCGCGGAGGTTAGAGGGGACGATGTTCTTATCGACTGTGACGTTAAGCTAGGCCACCCTCTCGAGCTCAAGCTTAAGTCAAAGGAGGATACGAGTCAGAGCTGGCCAGCGACAAAGGAGGCTTATGAACTTACGGTACAGCACAGTGCTTGCTTTGATAGATAGTCCGATGTCGTTGGCAAGACGAGCGACCTACATGTCTGGGCTTCGTAAGCACGACCGTCGTATGGAGAGTAGCCTACACGTACTCTAACATCATATTTTAGTGTCTGAGCTTCAGTGTGCCCGAATCATCGTCGCCACGAAACAGCGACAGACGCGGCCGGGGACCCGCGCGTCCGTGATCTATGCGCGTGATCGCATCGCTGCCTGCCCTCACCGCGTTCTGAGTTGGCCATGTACCTCCACCATCAGTCCAGACAGACGGCATGCTACCGCGACACATCCCGAGGACGAAAGTTTTACCTGCTATTGAATATGGATATGGCTTTCTTTCACAGGATCACGCTTCCTAAACGGCGCACCGCCTGACCCAGCAGGCGCCAACTCAACCTTCGTGCTGCTCCCGGCGAACCACCCGTACCGCTGCCATCGGCCAAACCGACTGTACCTTCTGTAATCATGGCGTCGCCGCCTTTCATCTTTGTCACATATATGGGCTCTACGCTTGCCGTGTCGAGGGCGAAGTGCGCCGAGTAGTAGTACAGCGTTTATTTTGCCGACAATCAGTACATCACCGTACGTCTTATCCAAGACATACACGTTCAGTCTCTCATCAGGCTTCCGCGCTCTTTGTTTAGCAGGGGCTGATGCACGACATACGCGAAGCGTTTCCTGCTCTGAAGAGTAGAGATGATAGCGCTATAACGATCGACGTCAAACTGCCAAATATACCACATCCTGTCCGCATGCTACCGTCCTTGTGGCCCGACATCCACCGCAATGTATCAGACGTCATCGTGCATGTTCTACCTGCAGACACGGTGAGTTTAGTACTCTCGTCTACGCTTGCTGCATTCTACCGAAACTTACGCCTGGACGCAGAAGTCAGGGCGAAGATGGTTACGCACGCCACGACCTCCAAGATATCTGTTCGAACTCCCACCCAACATACTCTCAACTTCGAAATCAACTTGAACTACGCACACGCGCGTGATCTGAAGCTGCTTTTGCAGCAGAGGATCGATGTGCCTGTCGAACAGCAGATCCTTCGCTACAAACATCCGAGGAGATTCGAGGTTCACGAGGGCGATCCTCTCATGCAATGCGATGTTCGCGCCAACAGCACCCTCATCCTTGACCTCAAGCCAAGGAAAGCCAAAGCGTATTCCGGCGTTGTCAGTCGGGCGAGACGTTGAGGGCAGCTGGCTCGACGTCTATCACTTTGAGGCGTAATCGCTCATCGCGATATTTGAGACAATGCGCTCCGCGGATGAACTCACCTTCCCGTGTACGATAGATTGCACATGAAATTGCACCTCGTTGTCGCTTTCACACTTAAGCTCTCCTCTCGTCTCTTCACGAAGTGTGCCTCACTACCTCCCAGCCCGGAACGGGCATGGACCGTCGCGCGGCCCTGGATCTGCACCACGCGATACTTTGCAGTAGATCCTCGAACAACAACAACAATGCCGTCCCCTCAGTGACACCCATAGCACTATCGGGGATCCCCCCGGAGCTTGTCAAGTACCCGGCTTAACGGTCTGATCCAACACGAGCCAACCCGGTGCATTATTTCTGCGCACACCATTCGAACCACGTCAACCTGGGGAAGGCGATTGTACAGAAGCTACGCTCCAGCTCGACTGACGGATTGAACGCCGACGGTGGAAAGCCCGCGTCATCGCCAGCGCGTAATCAAGCTTTGCATCGACTGGCCAGCGCCGGCAACATGTCCGGCAGACATTCATCTTAAGTAGACCCGCACAACACCATGGAGGCCTGTATCTGTCTCTCAGTAATCCTACCGATTTCCCGCCATTGAAGAGATGCATCGATTCAGAATCAAAAGCTTACTCGCCTCAGTTCTGCACTTCAGTCGCGGTTCTTCGGGCGCTGTTCCCACAGTTCAGCTCGACAATGGCACTTTCACTGGGCTCTCGCAGAATGCAACGTCGGCATTTTTAGGCATACCTTATGCGCTACCTCCGTAAGTCGAAGGGTTTACTGTATGATGTACAATACTTGGATGCTTACGTCCGCGTCAGAGTTGGTAATCTGCGAATGAACATCCCAAGGGCGTACGAGCCTTACAATGGCGCATACAATGCGACAGCGTTCGGCGCCCCTTGCATCTTTCAGAACATCTCAGCCTATTCTGCCGATGGTCTTGAGCCTTCTGCGGCTGCCTTGTTGCAGCAGTTTGTGAGCGGATTCTCGCTCTCCGATGATAGTGAAGACTGTACGTCCAGCCATCATGAAAGCGGTGAGTCTACGCTGACTGGGTTTGTATATAGGTCTCACTCTTAATGTTTGGACTCCTGCGAATGTTACGCCGGAGGCGAAGCTTCCGGTTCTCTTCGTACGTCATGACGACTGATCATGACCTCCAATCTCGCACTGACTATCGCTCAGTACATCTACGGCAGTGCGTCTGATGCATACTCCTTCTCTCATTCACGGTACTCACGCTTGCTTTAGGTGGGTTCGAAGCTGGGTACAGCAGCCAGGTTCGCTCTCTTCGCTCACCAAGCTTCTCGAGTCTGATTGGGCGCTCAGTTCGACGGTAGCGTCATTGTGGGACGTTCCATCGAGCTCGGTGATCCGGTAGTCTCTGTCACCATCAACTATCGGTGTGTGTCTACATGTCAGAGCCTGATATTATGCTGACTTCTTTTCGCCGCAGCGTATCTGGTATGTGCCAGTCAGACGCAGAGCTTGCAGCGATGCGAGTCTGTAGGGTCGTACTAACATGAGGGCTCGTAGCTCTCGGCTTTCCGGGTGGCGCTGAGGCGAGGGCTGCCGGGGTTGGCAACCTTGGCCTCCGTGATCGTACGTGTCTCAACACAGAGTCGTAGTGTGTATGCTCAATAGCTCGCTCAGAACGACTGGCTATGCACTGGGTACAGAAGTACATCCCCGCATTCGGCGGCGATCCTTCGAAGGTCACGATGTGTGTACTATCTTTTTGCAGTACATCGAGAATGATGAACCGCACCTTACCACGCACTCAGCTGGGGTGGAAGCGCCGGTGCCATCTCGACATCTCTACATATGCTCACGAACGGCGGAGACAACGAGGGTCTCTTCCGCGCCGCTTTCATGAGTTCTGGAGGGCCGATTCCCGCTGGATACATTGAGGACAGTGCGTACCTATTATCCCTTTGATGGCCATATCTGATGATCCTCGGTAGCGCAACCTCGCTGGGATGCCTTTGCGACGAATGCAGGCTGCGGCGACTTTCTCGGCAATGCTAGCCTTTTCGACTGCTTGCGTGCTTTGCCGCTTGAGGCCATCCGGGCTGCACAGGATCTCAGCGGGAGTATGTTTGGCTACTTGGGTGTTATTGGGATCCCATGGTGGCCCACCGCGGATGGGGATTTCTTGGTTGAGCCTCCGCAACAGCTGGTTCTGAACGGCAGTGTGTCGAACGTACCGTTCATCACCGGTGAGAATGGACTGCCGCGCGTCTACATTCATCTTACCATGTCTTCAGGCGACTGTGATGACGAGGGAACTCTTTTCTCTCTCGGAAACAGTAATGTCACGTACGAGTTCATCATCCTGAGCACTGGCTAGAGCTCACATGTGCATAGTACATCCGAAGGCCTAGCGACATATCTGAGCGAGGTGCTGTATCCGAATGCAAGCAGATCTTCTATCAATGCCCTTCTTACTGCGTATCCCGACGGTCCAATACTCGGTTCACCATTCGAGACCGGGCTCAACTCCTCTATCACTCCCGAGTACAAGCGAATCTCGGCCATATCCGGCGACGTCGTCTTCCAGGCTCCTCGCCGCTTCTTTCTCGGACAGCAAGCGAGTAAGCAACTCGCGTACTCATATGGTACGGCCTCCCTCGGGTGTCGTGGTCATCATTCACTTATACCGTCTGCATAGTGTACAAACGTGGAAAGCAGACTCCTCTCCTGGGATCGGTACGTCTCTCACGTTAGCTATGTGAAGCGAAGGCTTTGATATTCCTCTGACAGTATCACTCGAGTGATATGAACTCAATCTTCGCGGGAGGCGAGCTCCTGGACTACTTGATCATCTTTGCGGCCACGCTCGATCCGGGTTCGGGGGGAGGTCAACTCGAGTGGCCGCGTTACAGCATCGAGTCACCTCAGCTGATGACTGTCTTAGACGGCGATAAGCCCCTCAGCATTACGAATGATACGTACCGGGTGGATGCTATCAAGGTTGTGATCGAGTTTAGTATGAGCAACACGTTGTAGTAGCGTACTCTACCAGTGGTACATCTTAGTAGTAGTCCGTCTGTTTCTCGAGGCCGTTAAATCAGTCCACTTCATGCTCGCTCTAGTACTTATCTATATTCTTCTCTGGACGCCTTCGATCAACGGGTGTACGGCACGCGGACGAGGACCAAGCGGGACGCGTCGAACACATGTGATCGTGTTTCGTTCTTCCCACACGTCGCGATCAGCAATGCGCACGCGGCACAATCCAACGGCCAACTTGTTCTTTCCCCTCACCTCATCTCAGCAGGCCAAGGCGGCCTTTTGAAATATAATACGCCAATGCGGCTCTGAAGAAGTTTGAACGTGCTGATACGGCTACACGTTTGCTGGCGCCAATGTAGCCGCTGCCTATCTCGCGGCGTTGATGCTGAGAAGTTATGGCCTCGTCTGCTCTCGATACGGCAGGCCTGAGCGAGGATCAGCGCTTGCTCTTTGTGCGTGCTCTCTACCATGCAGACACGGCGACAACAGTACTGTTTTAGCTGCGCTCGCCTGACTGTCATCTGCTCCTTGACTCTGACCACAGGCCGATCCATCACTTTGATGCCTCCATGGACAGCCTGCTACCAATGATTGTTGTGAGATGTGGAGAACGCTCTATAGGCATCCCTCGTCCGGCGATCGGAGAAGGAATTAATATAGCTGTGAGTGGTTACTCTTCTTTCGCTTGCTCTGCGTCGAGAAAGTCTCGCTCACCTGTATGTCAAGTCAAGTATCGCGTCGTCTGTAGATGAGGCGTTCCCAGAAACCAGGACAAGGTCATACGTCATTGAGGTCAGACTCCCTGGCATGCAGACATCTGTCGAGGTTCTTCCATCGGTATGGCCCGACATCTGCACCACGGTCGTTGACGTGAACATACGGCTATCGTTGAATGACCGAGGTAAGCCGGAGTTGTGTGGCCCATTCTGAGTCGCAATATGTCGGACTGATGCCTGTTCACGATAGAGCGGAGGGCCAAACGGCTAAGTGATCTGGCGACGTCCATGATATCTGTGAAGGCGCCCACGGGGCAGTTATTCGCGTTTCGCCGTAACCTCAATTGTGCGGATGTCCGCGACCTGAAATGAATGATGGAGAGCGACATCGGCGTACCCTCCGACCGTCAAATCTTTCTGTACGAACCTCAAAAGGTCATATGGGATGCAAGCCCGGGCCGCAGTAGTTGGGTGGATGTTACTGGCTATGAACTATCGGACGACGATGTTTTGGTCAACTGCCATGTCGGTCCTGGTGACGTTCTACGTCTAAAGATTCGACCAAAGACGCCACAGGCTCTGCAACAATAGATGGAGGTCTACTTTGCATAGGTCGAATACTGGGCATCTTGATTCAAAGATAGTTGTACAGGTTCGAGATCAACTAGTGTCACTGTATGCACACCACACTTTACTTCCCGCAACCGGGACAGCTTGCAACCCACATGTCGTAGAAGTCCGCCTTTGGTGCGAGCTGAAACATCTCGCCGATGCGCTTGCGCATAGTTCTTGTAATGCTATGCGAGTCGCCGGATGCGCCACGATGTACAACGATGGGAACGTTATAGAACCCCGGGAGCATCTCGACGATGGTAGGCAGAGCTTGTGCGAGCTCGGGAGGAGGCACGGCCCGCAGCGCGTCGCGATAGGCCTTCAGCCATGCTTGAACGATGCAGCGATGCTCAGCGCTCAGCCCTTAAGGCGAGCTAGCAGTCAATCTCGCCGACGCCGTCACTGCCGACTCCCCTGACGTGACCGCGCGAGCCGAGTTCGACGTCTGAATCTGCGCCATCGCCGCTGATCTCCGTCGCGGTGTCCGATCGCTGACCTCAATAACTCCGTGCTGCGTTATGGATGGAGTCTGTGTCGTACGCGCCACGCACCCCCAGGATGTTCTCGAGCTGTCACGTCGACGTCAGCGATTTGGTCCGTCTTCAAATCAAGTGTTTGCAGCCAAAACTCGATCAATACTCAGCAGAAGTGACACATACAACTAGAATACAGATACACGTTATAGTAGCCCGAAGCCCAAGTATCAGTAGTACAAAATCAAACAGCATGGGGCACTGCTCCCGCAGCGCGGGGCCGCTGGCAGCCGGGGCACGCCTTGACCCACGACTCATAAAAATCGGCTTTCGGAGAAAGCATGTATTTCTTCCCTATCTTCTTCCGCATCGTCGACGCATTATTATGCGTGCCGTTGCCGGTCGCCGCGCGGTGCGCTCTGACCAGTTCTCGGTAGAATCCTACTCCCTCCGAGTCAACGAGGAGGTCGCGGCGGCTCGGCACGTCGGTATGAACGATTTGCTTCGACAGCCAGTTTTGCTTGCGGACCGACAGCTCCTGAGAGACGGCTGTCGGCAGCGGCATGCGTGGGCCATCGTCCATGGACAGAGTCCCTAGCCGTTTAAGATGCGCTCGTAGAGCTGGAGCGAGCTTGGCGGGAGGAACGACCCAGGGCGCGTCGGGGTGTCTGCGAAGCCAGTCTCGAACTACCTGGCGGTGGAGGACCAAGTTGACGATGCCTTGCTCGCCATCGTCGTTGTTGCCATTGCCTTCGCCGTCGTTGTTGCCATCGCCATCGCCGTCGCCGGCCATATCCATCGCGAATCTCACACGGGCAGCGCGCGGTGGATGGGCGGCGTTGCCCATGTCCATCTCGTTGTCCGAATCGTCGCTAATATCTATCACGGCGATATCGCCTGAAGGGAAAGTGTATACTGTAAGCCCAAGTGTACGGGACGGTAAGGACGGCTGCGCCATCGACGACGACGTACCTTCTTTCTTGACGTGGTCCTCAGCCTTAACTTGGGAATGTCCTGCCGTCGTGTATATCAGGATATTGCAGATGAACAGGAAGACCTTGTATCACCTTTGCCTTCGGAGACGACGACAAGAACGTGCTTCATGTCACCCGAGATCGCCTTCCATTCGGGTGGGCCGGCTACGAAGAGGAACTGAGAGCTATCGTGGTCGACCATGCACTTGATACCCAGAGAAATGTCCTTCTCAGCGATGTCATCGCCGATCTTGAAAACCTTCCGGATAGTGAGCAGCGCAGTCTGAATCAAAAGTAAGCACTCCAGTATGAAGGGCCAGAATTAATAGCACTGACCTCGTAGGATTTCAAGTAAGAGCGAAGAATAAGCTTGTTCGTGGAACCGTGCGTGACATGCACGGCTCTCTCTGGCACCGGCGTAGCCGAGGACATTGCTGATGGTCCGGGGGAAAAGAACACCACGCAAGAAAGACGAGGGTCGCAAGATAACCGGAGACTTACCCTGTCCTTATACCGGCTCGGCCGGTGTGGATTACGGGTCCCCCAAAGCCCGACACCGTAGGCCGTAGAATCGCTCGAGTTGTGCGTGACCGTGTCCTGAACGTATAACAGACAGCAACGGAAGCAAAAACGCACTAAAAGTGCGCCCAGTAGATAGATATGTGAAACTTCTGTATCGCTCACTCCGCGCCAAGTCCCCCAATAACACTGCAGCACGATGATAAGGCGATCGAGACCCGTCTATCTCCCCGTGTAGTCGCTATAGTCGCGGAGACGGAGACGGGGATGCGCGCAGGACACGGAGTGAGCCTTCCAGATGCCCTGAATGCTGGAGCCGCGGACCCTGGACCACTGGGCGCTGAGTCGCAGCGGGCCCGCGAAGAAACGAAGCGGCTCTGAATAGGGCGTGATACAGCGCCGCATGAGGGCAGTGTCGGGGTTCGTAGAAGTCCGAGTCCGGGAGACGATGCCCGGAGGTGTGGAAAGACCAGGACGATTGTGGAAGGTGGACTGGATCGCGAGTTGGGGTAACGCTAGATACTTAGAGGCGCAGGGTACAGCAAGGCAGATGCTCAGAAACGGGGTGGCTGAGCGACTCCGCGCAGAGGAGAAGTCGCCGACGTTGAAAAAAAACCGGTTCGCGACCCGCGATATGCACACTGCATTTGTGGCCGCCTTTTTGGTAGCTCGGCGCGGCGCACACTGTGACACGCCAGTCGTAGTGCACGGTCACTTTATTTTCACGATGGGGAGGGCAGAGAGACGAGATATGTATGGTGCACGTCGCAGTTCAAGTTGAGCAGAGAAAAACGCCGCCGCGCGCCGCAAACGGGTTCGGTCCGAACTCCGACCTCGAACCGCCGCGGCGAACGCGCGGATACACCTCTTGCCTTCTACCGCGACCGCCCAACTGCTGTGCCCCGAGTTCTGTTCAATACCGTGTATCACTCTTCTGCGTGATAAGTACCGCGAGAACGTAGCAGGAATTCTCGCCCGTCACAATATCTTGCAGAACTCGAGCACCTCACACGCAATTTGAGATCGCCGTCGCCGAATCTTTGCTTGCCGTCCAACGCATCGTCGATGGCGGAATGCACGTCTCAGCCGCCGCGCTCAGTCAATCGCTCAAATTTTCATGCGCGCCACGTATGCACATCCGGTCAGCGCGTTGCGATCGCCTTTCGCCATTGAATCTCGGTACACGGTGGATGGATGTGTAAAACCAGGTCCAGTGCTATTCTAGAAACAGTCACCCGTTCACCTGTAAGCTACTCGAAGATTCTCAAGATACCACAGTACGATTTGAGACCCCGGGACTTTGTACTAGCCTGGCTTAAGAAGCTCACAGATCAGCAACGTTGTATGGTCGACATTTAGATAGGTCGTCTAAGGCTCTTCGTATGCGGAGGGTTAGACGTAGTTTGCGCAGATCTGCTACATACGGAGGGCGATGACAGAGCGCGGTAGCATACCCCGCTCCAGGCTGAACGGGCAATCACGCCTCGTGGTGTAGGCCGGCAGAAGCTTGCACCCCCTTCTGGGTCTGTGTTCCCTCGCCGCGCGCACCAATCGTATAAGTACATCTGCGCCACGAAGCCTTGCAGATCCTTCCTGCTGTGTTGTCCTCGAGTCTAACATGTTCTCAGCCCGGTCAAACAATCATGCCAGCGGCACTCCTCTGCCGCTCATCGTGGCTACCTTTTGCGAGCGCGCGATGGCGATCCCTCGCTCAAAGGAGTTATTCGGTCGCTTGTCTGTCAATGTATGTGCACAAGATGGATTGAATTAGCACGCGAGCAGATAGTTGATCAATACTCTCGTGCCATCTAGGAAAGCATCGAGCGCTCGCTCGTAACAGCCTTTCCTGCTCTTGCACAACATCCGAAGTTGACTCTCAAGATCATGGCACCGGGCATGAAGCAGTCAGCTGAGGTTCTACCGGCTCTGTGGCCTCAAATCTACGCGACGGTCACGGAGATGACGGTGGAAGTACCTCTAAGCCCCGAGGGTGAGTCCAGAGGTCTGCGCAACGAGCTTCAGAGACTAACAGCGCGTCAGAGGAAAGACTCGATGAGCTCACCAGAGTCGGGACGTCGGAGATCGTCGCAATCACCGGGACGAATAGCTATACATTGAACGTCAATCTACTCATGGCGACCGGCCTGGACTTGAAGATGCTCATTCGGTCTCTCACCTTGGTCCCCGTCGAGAAGCAGAACCTCAACCGCCACGGTCATGCTCCTTTTTCCAGTAAGTTATCTCGATGTGCAGACGCCAACGTACACGATATCTGAATGCGAACCGTGCAGAAATGGTACCCATCCGGGACGATGAGACTCTTTACGATGCTGGAATAAGAGGGGCCGATTCCGTCGACGAGACTCGACAAGGTGTCGGGCCGAACGTGGCACTCATGACGCTCAAGCCCAAAGAGAGGCCTGCGACGCGTGACGTTGTTGTTAAATCAGGATGACAAGGTAGACACAATCCAAACACCTCTCGTATCTTCATGCGCATGTTCGTACTAGTAGGCGGAAGAACAAGCACGGGCGAAAGGGGCTCCTTAGCGTAGCTGTCACGCATTGCGACGTTCAATACCTGCATAACTGTTTTTCAAAAGTCCATTGTCTTGCCGCGCTATGACGTAGAGCTATGAGAATCTGCTCGCACGAATGTCAAGCGCTTATTAGCCTCGTGTTGTAGGGCGCTAGAAGCCATAACCTTTCCGGGCGAGGCGCTCATGCGCGAGTGACCGTATTGATTAGCTACTCCTATCCGCTATAACAGAACATACACCAAACATCCATCTTCTCTGACAGACCCAACATGGCTGCTTCACAACCGACCGCTCCGCTACCACTCATCGTCGCAACGTTCCGTGATGAATCGGTAGCGATACCTCGCTGCGAGCGCCTCTTCGGCCGCCAGGAAGAGGTGAGGGCACTCTGACAGTGCTTTGAGTTGGCGCGTATTGTAAGCTGATTAGGAGACACTGGAGACCATCGAGTCCTCCATCGTAGAGGCTTTCCCAGCTCTGGAAGGGCATGGCAATATAGTGCTCAAGGCGAAGGTGCCGGGCATGCGAGAGCCAGCTAGGGTTCTCCCGAAGTTATGGTCGCAGATCTGGGAGAGTGTCACGGAGATTGTCGTGGAGTGTTTGGAAATCGAAGAAGAGGGTGCGTGGAATCTTGAACCAGATATTCGCGCCGGGCCCTTAGGTTGTTCTTTGTTTAGAGCGAAGGCTGGATATGCTGACGAAAGTCGCTACCTCCGTGATCAATGTGATGACTCCGACGGGCGCGGAGCATGCTCTCAAGATCAACTTGCTCTGCGCTACTGCTCTGGACGTCAAGAAGCTCTTAGTTTCGTACACGGGTGTAGCGGTGGAAAGACAGGTCCTTCGGTTCGAAGGATTCCATTGGATCCCGGACCCAGAGAACCCTTCCGCGAGGATCCCCGCCTACAACGAGGTACCGGAGAACGACATCTTGTTCAACTGTAAAGTCAAGGCCGGTGAGCAATTGAGGATGGTGCTCAAGCCGAAGCCGGTTCTTACGCAGGATGTTGTTGTGCGGTCGGGGTGAGGGTTGTGTAGTACATAGTGTAGTCTGGTCGTACAATGGCATTCGTTTAATATCATCATGAGCGTCGGTACGAAACGAACGTCGACGGTCGCAGTCCGCGTCTCCGCGTCACCGGCCCGCGTCGCGTGTGACAGAAGCCCAGCATCATGAGCGCCCGTCCGCGCTGTGCACCTCGAGACTCGTTCCACCATCACCCGCCGCCCAGCGCGCGCATTGCCATCTGCCACCTCACCCCCTCTCCCACACTCTCCAATCCCGTACACAACTCAAAATGGACCGGTTCGCAGACCTAAGCTCGACGCTGTCGAATCTGACGATGTACGATATCAAGTCGGCGTACAACCAGGTTCGTAACCTCTCGCTCGTTGCATTATATAGTTGGGATAAAGAAAGCTGATATGGGATTGGATGGTGCAGGCGAAGAATATGGTGTTGAATGTGAGCGAGATGGAGGCGAAGGTGCGGGAGGCTACGAATGATGATCCTTGGTGAGTACTTGCGTTGTTGATGTGTGGAGGACGGAGGTTGACGGGGGTGTAGGGGGGCGAGTTCGACGCTTATGACGGAGATTGCGCAAGGGTACGTCCGTGTATATATATCTCACGTGTACTGGTACTGACATTTACGAATAGGACGTTCAACTTGTAAGCCAACTTGCCCTCGATACTTCCGGTGCACGTCTGACGCGCCCAATCCAACAGCCAGAACTTCAACGAAATAATGCCCTGCATCTACTCCC